GGGCCGAATCGCGTCAAACCAAGGATGGGGGGCGATGCTGGACATCAAAATGCGACGATTGACCGTGCAACATCACAAATGTACGCGGAATTGAGTGAGAACGAGCAAATTTACGATGGAAGGGGCAGGGAGTACTCACCAGGTCAATGTCATCGTTCTCGACCACGGGTGGGCCGAATCACGTCAAACCAAGTACAGGAGGCGATGGGGGACATTACTCCGCGTCGATTGACCCCGCAACCACGGAAATGTACGCGGAATTGGATGAGAACGAGCGAATTTACGATAAGAGGGAGGTACTCACCAGGTTAATGTTGTCGTTCTCAGCAACGGGTGGGCCGAATCGCGTCAAACCAAGGATGGGGGGCGATGCTGGACATCAAAATGCGACGATTGACCGTGCAACATCACAAATGTACGCGGAATTGAGTGAGAACGAGCAAATTTACGATGGAAGGGGCAGGGAGTACTCACCGGGTCAATGGCGTCGTTCTCGACAACGGGTGGGCCAAATCACGTCAAACCAAGTACAGGAGGTGATGACGGACATTAATCCGCATAGATTGACCCCGCAACATTGGAAATGTACGCGGAATTGGGTGAGAACGAGCAAATTTACGATAAGAGTGGGAGGGAGGTACTCACCAGGTCCTGAGTACCATCATTCCCAACAATGAACACACCAAATCTCTTCAACAAAGTACCAATAGATATAGAAACCAGTGCCTAGAATAAGCATAACCACCATGGACAGAAACACGACGTGTCAACTCTGTCGATGGTGGTGTGTGCTCGGAGAAGAGTGAGGAGAGATGTGCCAGCAAAGCATCACTGGATGCACGTCTGGCCTCCGGCAAATTCCGACGTGATATGGCAGGTACTCTCCCACGGGTACCTGTGGGACCTGAAGCACTACCTGTATCCGTGCAGCCACCCGTGGGAACAAGTATCTGTATCCACGGATACAGGTACCCGATGGTGTGCCTTACGAGTATCCGTTGCAGGTACTCACGGGTCCTGGTACTCGTGGCATGCCCTGAAACAGATGCATCTGGATCAGCAACCGGAGGAGCGTTGTTGCAGAAGAAGGAGGATGGGTTGTGGCACCCAGTGGCATATCGGTCAGAGTCTATGATAGAAGCTGAGCGCAACTACGAGATATACGATCGCGAAATGCTAGGCATAGTGCGAGCTCTCGAAGATTGGCGTCACTTCTTAGAAGGACTACCGGACAGGGCTCACCACGATTACCAACACCCGTGAGTACCTGTGCCAAGTATCCGTCAGGCACGGCACCAAGTACCTGTATCCGCAAGTACGGATATTCATTCCCACGGGTGCCACTGCGGATACAGGTCCAGGATCAAGTGGCCCCGAGTACCTGTTGCGGGTACCTGCATCCGAAACACCATAGTCCGGCCACAGAGCAGGGTGGGATTGAAGGGAGATGAGAAGTAACAGGAGGCCTGTTGAGCATGGAGGGCAGGGAGGTTGTAGTCCAAAGGCGAAGTATATTAATTACATACTGTGTACAGCGGGGCCTGAGAAAAAACTGTTGAAGTTCAACGAAATCAATATATATGGTGTTGAAACCACGAAAGCAGAAGTTTTGAGATGGGCACAAGAAATGACAAGGTAGATACGACAAAGAGGCAAGCATGATGGAAGGGGGACAATCGAAGGGGAAGATAGAGCCACAAAAAAACCAACATTCCACAATTCACCGAAACCGCATCACCTACTCAACAAGCTGGACATTCGAATCCGACTCACCCTCTGGCTCGCTAGCCCTACCCTTACCCTTACCCTTCCCATTGTTTGACCACTTGTGCTTGCTGCGTAAGGTCTCGAGCAACTCACCCTCGTCAAGAATTCCTGGAATCCCCAATCTCAACCAGGAGCCGAGGATGGTCGCGGCACGGACACTCTGGTCAGAGAGGCTATGGCGAAGCTTTGAGACCGTAAGACCTCCACGCGAAAACCCTGTCTCGAGATCTGTCGAAGCCGCTGTAGAATCTAATGAGCATCGGCCAGGTAATAGAGCGTAAGAGTAAAAACAAGCTCACCAGGGCAAGAGAGGACATCGAGGCACATCCGAGCGAGAGGAGCGGTACGAGGGGTAGATGCGAACGAGGTCCAGTATCCGATGGGATCATCAGTGGGTATAAGCGGGGAGTTAAGGTAATCTTCGAGAGCGTTGGTAGCCGTGTTGAGACCCATGTTTGCAGAGAAGACCGATGTAGTGCATGACCCAGGGTTCTGCGACAAGCAAATACTAAGAACCAGAGATAAATATGACGAGAAGATTTTCTTACCTGTGTTGGGCATTAGCAGCGTCATCATCGGGCTTGTAATGTTCAATCCACAGGGTGGTGATGACTTTTCGTGCTGCGGCTATCCATTCTGGATCCCAACCTGCATGGGTGAAGTAGACCATCTTCAAGCCAGGGTGGCACACTATCATAAAAGTTAGTGAAACCCAAGCAAGAAGATTGACACACAAAAATGTACTAATACCACAGCGTGGAAGGATTGAATCATCGGAGAGGCCATAGTATTTTCTCAAGATTTTCAAGCCGTTGAAGGCGGCCGCACGGATTGCAATGGGATAATTGAGATCAGTCGCGTACCCCTCCAGATGTGATGAGATTGTCCAACCCCGGAAGGACTTCATGAAGGAACGGGCGGTTACGGGTCTCGAGGTGTACGATGGCCTTACGAAAATGCTGAAGACAAGTTAGAATCAACGAAAATGAACAATATACAAAAATGTACTTACATCTAAGATCGGGTGAAGGAGACTGAGAAATTCCCACTGCTCTTCATTGAGAGCAAGATGGGTGATCTTGTGTTTGGGATTCTCGGTCAGAAGGTCGACGGCAGGACGAATCTGAAGAGCAACCCCAATGGTATTGGTGAGCGAGGTCCAGCGGGTGACCACCGCACGGGGAAGGATCTTCGGAGGAACCTCCTTCCGAATGCAGTACTGTTTGAGGGCACGTCGGTGGGCAGAGCTATAATGAGTGCGGCGGGCGATGAGCATAACCCGCTGGATGGCGAGGCGAGGCCCCTTCAGCAAGGAACGATCTATAGCGAGCTCCTCCTCCACTTGCTCCCGCATCTGCTCCAACTCTTCTGCTGCACACTCCTCCCTATCCTTGTCCACCTCGTCATCGTCCGACTCGTCATCCACAGCTGCATCCTGCTCGACCTCGTCATCTGCGAGACTCTCTTCATCACTCTCCTCCTCATCCTCCTGATCTTCCTCGATATCGTCACCTTCATCATCTTCCTCGGCACCATCTTCCCTATCCTCTTCACCCTCACCCTCATCCTCGTGCTCATCCTCCGCGATGGTCTTCTTGTTCTTCTTCTTCGACTTGAATGTATTGGTCATAGCCTATGACATACAAGAAAACAATTGGTCAGAACGTCCGAAGATGAAAGGTTAATAGAGAATGAGATCATACCTTCATGACCAGATTGAATGTGTGGCATGAACAACGTACGGCAGTTGCACGGCTACGGAGAGATTTGTCAGGGAGCATCCTACCGAGATGATCAAGGGCGGTGAAATTGTTGCTGGCATTATCGACAATGCCACCGAAGAGCTACATCGAGAATTAGAACACAAGACAGGCAAATGATGGCAAGTGAAAAAAAAAAAAGCCACGTACATCATTCTCGAGGCCATAGGTCTTGATGCTACCATACACATGTTCAGCAATCTCCCGACCTGTGTGCGAGGTCTCGATCGGGATGTAGTCGATAAGTATAGAACAGAGTTGGCCGTTGATGATCATGAAGAGGTTGAGGCCGATGAACGTGAGGGTGTTTGCCGAGGTCCAACCATCGAACACGATATGTTTGCGTCCCGGAGTAGCCTACGAAATACACCAATGAGAACTCAGCACTAGACGATGGATAAGGAAGACTTACTCGTATGAGCTTCTTGACATTCTTCTGACCGATCCTGAAGATCTCAAAAGTGTCACGGGAGATAGTGATGTCAGACCACGCTTTGGCACCAGGATGGAACATCTCGAGGATTTTGAGGAACCATTCGTCGGAGACTATGGCGAACGGCCGAGACGCAGAGCAACACCAAAATACTTCATAGAGACGGAGCTTCTCGGGTATACGTCGAACCACGGGCGAAGTTGGCGATGGATCCCTGATTCGACGGAAGGTCTGGATGTTTCGAATTGACGTGGTCCCAAAGGTTGCTTGTAGAATTATTGTAGCACGCCCGCTTCACAACTTGCTTGCACCTAGATGGCAATGCACACTACATTAGTCCAGTTCGCAGCAAGCTCATTAATGATAGAACCTCACCTTGTGCAGCCAAATGTATACCGAACCACCCCATCCTCCCCCTCCTCAATCCCGGGTGGCATCTTGTACCTTTTGTAGACAGACCTCTCGTCCTCCTGCTTCCAACCCTTCGTGACTCTGTCTGCAATGACTGTGAGTCTTGCGATCGAAGAGAATGAATGACAGAGAAATTTCGTACATAAGATGTCCTGCAACGTATTCTCCTCGGGCTTCCACTTTGAATTAAAGGTTTGCATTTTCTTCTGGGCCGGCGTCTTCGATGATGAAGCTGTCGAAGTAGTGATTGAGGCCGGCGTCGACGTGGACTGCGACGATTGAGCCGCTGGCGTGTCTCCTTGCGGAGTCGATGTGGAAGAAGAGGAGGGAGCGGAATCGGGTATCGGGGCAGCGGACCCAGCCTTGTTGCGTTTGGAGGTTTGAGCAGCGCCTGAAGAGTGACGAGGACGTTTCCCCGACCGCGATCGTGTCGACGAGGATTGTGCCATTGCCAAGGGAGATCGAGACGGTGATAGAAGGTGAAATCAAGGTTAAAAAGAGATGAAACAGCTGGGACGAGAAGGGAGCCAAGGTGTTGTCGACGATCTGATAGTTGGCAGCAGAGTCGGAATCGGAGGTTACGGAGGACGGAGGTAGAGGAGAGGGAGAGGACACCGGGGAGGACGATAGAGAGTGACTTGGGGACGATTCGAGCGAAGGGATACCGTCGTCCGAATCGGAGACAGATTCGAGAGACGGGGTAGAAGAGGAGAGAGAGAGTACGGGCGAGACGGATCTGGAATGTTCACGTTGAGCTGCTGAGGAAGGTGTGGCCATAAAAGTGAGCGGAAGAGAGCTGCGATGATGGAGGAAAGGGGACGAACCGTTGAGGCTTAAATAAGTAGCTGAATATCTGCGCTCGAGGGCAGAAAATCCAATTCAAGCCTGCATGTAAAGGTGTGGATCACAAACAATCAGCGAGAAGACAAGCAAAAGAGGGGGTTAGACGTACAAAATATACTGCATACATGCGTGGAGAACATTCATCATTCGCCGAGCAGTCCGATGTTGAAGCACCTGGGTGAGATCAGACTTTGAATCAGCAAACATGAATTCAGAACGAAACAGGAACTCACCCGGAAGTGCACACTCGGATTGCGCTGGATTAAAGCGTGTAACACGCATGCTGAAATGATCTGTTCAAAGGATCGAGTTCAGTGGTTTGATAGCAGGAGTAAATGAAATACACGCACCGGATACCATGCAGAGCATGAGTAGACATAAGAAGAGGATATGTCTGGTGACCTAGGGAAAACCGTCAGGTGCTTCACTTCGAGAACGAAAAGAGAGCCATACCGAGTGCAGAATGCACGCGAAGTCCTCGGAGAGGTATACAGAGCTACAGTCTATGCAAGTTCTAGTTAGAAATAATTGAACGAAGAAGCAAAAACAAACATACCTTGCGAGAAGACCGAGAAAGCAGCAAAATAGGCTGTCAAGCCCACTCAAAACCCCAAAGGAGACCCTAGAAAAACAGACCAAGGATGAGGCTACAGCAAGCAGATAGCGAGAGTTGGCGAAATCAACAAACATCGATACTCTGTGGGAACAGAGTCGAGTGGTCGCCAAAGTACGCAGAATAAGCTGTATGGCATGCCGGGGAACACGACATGTCACCCCCGGGCATGCGTCCACGAGCTTTCGGCCAGGTCGTCCAGTGTGAGGGTGGTGTGATAGACGAGGGAGGCGGGCATGCGAAAGAAAGAGAGAGAGAGAGACGAGACGAGACACGCGAATACTCGCGGATGGCAAGTGCCGGAGTTCGCTCTCACGCACAGGCCAGCGAGCGTTCTGGCTCTCACGCATCTTTCGCCCCTCCGCCGCTGGTCTCTGTCTCCTCCACCGTCGCCTCCTCCTCCTTCACCCTTGACGCATATCTGCCCGCCCTCTCCGTATCTCTGCGTCTCCGTTCACCCTCTCCACCCACCTCAACGCGTCTCTACCCGCCCTCTCCACCCTCTACTCCCTCCGCACCCGCCCTCTCCAACCTCAACGCGTCTCCGTATGCCTTCTCCACCCTCAACTCCCTCCGCACACCCCCTCTCCACCCTCAATGCGTCAATGCCTGCCCTCTCCGCCTCTCCGTGTGCCCCCTCTGCCTCTCCGCGTGCCCTCTGCGTATCCGCGCGCCCTCTCCGTGAGCCCTCTGCGCATCCGCGTGCCCTTTCTGCGCATCCGTAAGCCCTCTCCACCTCTCCGTGCGCCCTCTCCGCCTCTCCGCTCACCCTTTCTGCGTATCCGCGCGCCCTCTCCTCGTCTCCGCGTATACGCGTATACGCATATTTGCGTATTTGCATATCCGCGTATTTGCGCATACGCGTATTTGTGTATCCGCGTATCCGTGCGCCCTCAATCCCCTCCGCACTCCCCTCCTCCACCCCCCACGCGTCTCCACACTCCCTCTCCGCATATTCGCCCTCTCCGCGCACCCTCTCTGCTCCCCTTGACACGCTCCCACGCACCCCTCAATGTGTTCAACGCCTTCCGCGCATCCATTGCGCCCTCCGGTTCCCGTCGTCGCCATCAAGCTCCCGATCAACACCCTCTGCAAGCCCCGGAGACCCATAGATTGAGCCCACAGGTCCGAGCATAGGATAAACGTGTCGCGTCTCCTTTGCCGGCTCTGAGGCTCGGTTTTTTTGTCACTTTGGCAGTACTTCCGCCCCTCAAGACTCACTTTCACGCTCTACGCGCCTCCATCCATTTTAGGGGGTTCTGACACCCCTTTCGCGCCGGTTTTGACACTCTGTGTCGAGGGGTCTCTCGCGGACATTGTCTGTGCTTTTTTTTTCTTTTTTCTTGGTGCGTTTCTTCTGGCGTTTGCCTTAGTTGTTGTACTTACTCAGTTTCCTTGACATTTTTTAATGTTTTACAGGCGTTCTTCTACTCGTCGTCACCACCGTCCCCGTCCTTGACGGTTCCTGTGAGTTCCTCTCCTTGATTCTATGTCATAGTAAACTTTGCGCACTCTTCGATATTCCATACTCTCCTCTGCTTTGCCAGTGTTCCGACACATCCGTCGCAACACGTTCGTGCTCGACGGCTGCTCAAGACTTTCCTTTGTTTTTCCGTTCCTTAGGTACGTTTTTTTCTCTTTCTCATCGCGCATATCACACTGATCAGACATTCACAGTATCTCTTTGTCATGTCGACCACTCCCTCAAGCTCTTCCACTCCTCCACTCTACGATGGTAAGCTATTTCGTTTATTCTTTTTTGTTTTCATCCTGTACTCATCAACAATCAATTGGGATAGCCGAAACGTGGAATACCTGGCTCATCGCCACCACAATTGTCGACCCGTCTTGGCCCGCGGAGTTGAAAGCTCAGCGTGAGGCCAGTATATCGAAGGCGAAAATGAAACTGAAGCTGGAGCTTCTCGTCTACTTCAAGCGTGCCCTCCCGGATGGTCCTCTCGTACCATGCCACCCCGGTGAAGAGCTGGAGCTGATGAAGCGCCACCATACCGCCATCAACGAACCCAACGTCGGGCAGGCCACGATCTATCTTTCGCGGGGGCTTTCCAAGCGCGAAAAGAAGGCCAAGAAGCAGGAGAGGTTGAAGAGGTTGAAGGTTTCTGGAGCGACAGCGGAGGATCTTGAGCTCGCTACGCTCGAGAGTGATACTGACGAGGAGATGGAGGATTGGGACTTTTATGGCGAAGATCCCCCCGAGAACTTTGTCCCTACTGCACTGAAGGCACCGATACCCTCCCAGCCCTTTGCCATTCCCCCCAACGTCGCCCCGATCCACTTACGCTATCCTGCTCGCACGCCACCGAATAGCACTGGCCGTGTTCCACTTCCGATGGAGGTTCGGTACTCAGGCTATGTGTATGTGGACCAAGCGACCAACATTCTCTGTGCCAACACAACTTACGCGCCGATTCTTCCACCTTCCGAGGATTCCACAATCTACGTCGATGGCTACTGGGGTCGCAAGGACACTTCGCTGTACCCCCAACGATTCGACCACCACGCACCTTGGCTCCTCTACATCCCCATCTCCCACGAAGTTCTTCGACGACCTCTTCTTCCCGAAAATCGGCGCAACCTCTGGACTGCAGGCATGCTTCGTTCGGGGATGAAATCGACGCCTCTCATGTCGCCCCTCGAGAGTATCCTGGGCCCGCTTCGCGAGAAGCGCAACTCGATGAAGCAGACGGTTCCGAAATATTTTCGTCTGGTCCTCGA